ATCCTCATGCAAATTTTAATAAATCATAAATAATATATCACCACAGTCTGAGGTCAGCCCTCTCCAGCAATGAACCAGGACAAAAGTCGAGGAATTTATCTAAACTATAGCAAGCAAGCTAAGGCCGTGCCGGCACAAGCAGAATTCTGAGAAACAAGCTGGGTTAGCATATCACATTTTTCAATAAAGAATTTCAGGACAATTTTGGAAGTGTGCACAATTATCAGAGATGCAAAGGACAGACTAAGGCCAGTAAGAAGGATTGAAAGCTAGCATGACTAAAGTTGAGAATGGAGGGAAGAAAACAGGCAAGAAAAAAAAGACAGGAATCAGGCTAGGCAGTTCCCCTTCTTGGGCATATCAAGGAGTCTGTCCTTATCTTTAGAGTGATAAGGAATCACGCAGGGATTTAATCGGGCAGTGTGGCACAATAATCTCTGCCAATCAGATCTCCCCTTTCCTTCCAGAACATTCGCTCAATGCATCACAAAACAGCATAAGAAGCATATTAGTATTTGTGTATCAGCTTGCAGTAATACCAAGACTTCTTAAGGTTTCTATTAGCATTAATAATTAGGGGCATGAGATTTCTTTTCATAATTCTACAGACTGAGTTCTCCACCTGGTAATGCCTGGATTCATTACTCACCTCACTATCTTTGCATTTATCTTTACAGTCATTTCATGGGGTTAGTTGTGGTAGGAATAGTAACAGGAGGGAACAGCACCAAGATCAGCATACAGAACCCAGTTGGCAGAGGCGAGGAAACACTTCCCCATGTTGGCTCCATGCAAGAAAATAGCCTAAGACTTACAAAGGCTAGAGAACACAGGTGCTAGTGGAAAACCTACAAAGGGCCTTAAGACTGCTAGCACAGTGCTTCTGGGTATATGCCTTTTTCCAGCTCATTAGTGCACACTCACTTCTGGAATGCCTCCTCCACCCCCTCTACTTCTATTAACTTAAAAAGTCAAACAGTCAAACGGGTTTGTTGTCTTGTGGACTAACTACCTAAAACCATTCACAATTCTATTCCTCAGCTGGTAAAGGTGCTTACCATGAAAGTGTGAGGATCTGAATCTGAGCCCCAGTACCCACATTAAAAGAACAGAGGGCAAGCAAACAAGAAGACACCCTGTTGTAATCCTAGTGCTGGGGAGGCAGAGATAGGTAGATCCTTGGACCTCACTGCTCACTGGCCAACTAATTTAGCCTACTCAGTGGGTTCCAGGCCAGTGAAAGATCCCACATGAAGAAATGAAGGTGGACAGTCCCAGAAAAACAAGAACAAGAGGTTGGCCTCTGGTCTCTACACGAATATATACTAACACACACACACACACACACACACACACACACACACACACACACACAGGTTTCCCATTTTATATGGCTCAGTTCTACAAATGAGAGCTGTTAGGTGAAATCCCTGGAAATAGTGTCTAAAAAGCATTTACGGAAGAGATACAGGTAAAGCACTTGAGTTTTCCCCAAAACCTGAATAAAGGCAGGTGCAACAGCAAACTCCTGCAGTCCCATGAGATGCGAGATAGGGACAGAAGAACTGCAGATGCTCACAGGCAGTTCATCTATAGCACATGCAG